TCGTCCAGTTGGATGGCCGAATCATTGGTTACTGCTCGCCCAAGCAGGCCCAGAGAATTGCCGATACTATCCGATACTGGAAGGTCGAAGGCAAGAACAACATTCCTCGTGAATTGGAAATTGGATATATTCCCAACTCAAGCGGCGGTCAATACCCAGGTGTCTACATGTTCTCCCAATCAGCGAGAATGTACCGCCCTGTTAAGTATTTGGCGCTGGATAAGCTGGATTACGTCGGACCATTCGAGCAACCTTTCATGGAGATTGCCTGTGTGGAGTCTGACCTGATTCCCGGTCTTTCGACCCATATTGAGTTCACGCCCACGAACATCCTCTCCATCGTCGCGAACATGACCCCCTTCTCCGACTACAACCAGTCTCCACGTAACATGTACCAGTGTCAGATGAGCAAACAAACCATGGGTACGCCAGGTACCTCGATTGCTCACCGTACCGACAACAAGTTGTACCGCATCCAAACGGGTCAAACGCCAATTGTGCGGCCACCTCTCTACAACGCCTACGGCCTGGACAACTTCCCCAATGGTATGAACGCAGTTGTGGCCATCATCTCCTACACCGGATACGACATGGACGATGCTATGATTATCAACAAGTCCGCACATGAACGTGGCTTCGGTCACGGTACAGTCTACAAGACCAAGGTCGTCACTTTATCCGAGAACGATTCCCGCCGGACCAAGTCCAAGCGTGAGGTTACCAAGCTGTTTGGATTCGCCCCCGGCGACGAGGTCAAAGAGCAGGTGCGCAACATCCTCGACGAAGATGGAATGCCGCACTTGGGCGCTCGCGTCAAGGAAGGTGACAAGATCGCGGCCTGGCACAATGTCCGCTTCGATCCCGCCTCCGACTCGTACGTCAACGTCGATGGAGTCACCCACTACATGAAATACAAGGATGCCGAGGAAGGCTACGTCGAGAGCATCCGCATCATGGGTTCCGAGTCTGGCAACGAGCCCGCTCAATCTCTCAGCGTCAAGTATCGCATTCCCCGAAAGCCCGTCATTGGTGACAAGTTCTCCTCTCGTCACGGTCAGAAGGGTGTTTTGTCTCAACTCTGGCCTGCAGTCGACATGCCCTTCTCCGAGAGCGGCATGCAGCCCGATCTGATCATCAACCCTCACGCTTTCCCATCCCGTAAGTTTCCATCAATCTTAACATCAAATGAATTCACCCAGCTAACATGTCCCCAGGTATGACAATCGCTCAAATGATCGAGTCCATGGCCGGAAAAGCCGGTGCCATGCACGGTCTCCCGCAAGATTCCACTCCCTTCCAATTCTCTGAAGAAAACACCGCAACCGACTACTTCGGCGAGCAGCTTCGCAAAGCCGGCTACAACTACTACGGCAACGAGCCGCTTTACAGCGGTGTCACGGGCCGCGAGTTCTCCGCCGACATCTACATGGGCCTGGTCTACTACCAGCGTCTGCGTCACATGGTGAACGACAAGTTCCAAGTGCGTACGACCGGTCCCGTCAACGCGCTCACGGGCCAGCCCGTGAAGGGTCGTGCGAAGGGTGGTGGTATCCGTGTCGGAGAGATGGAGCGTGATTCGCTCATTGCTCACGGTGCAGCCTTCTTGCTGCAGGATCGTCTCATGAACTGCTCCGACGCCCAGCACACCTGGATCTGTCGCTGCTGTGGTTCCTTCCTGTCTACGCAGGTTGCTGTTTCCGGCTCGTCCCGCTCCCGCACGGCTATCAACCCCGGTGCTGCTGCGGCTGCTGCCAAGGCTGCTCCTAACCAGCAGAGCACCAATGCTCATGCTGGTGCTGCTATTGGTGCTGTGGGCGGTGTCAATGGTGTTGTGCGTTGCCGTCGTTGTGCCCGTGAGGCTACTTTCGATGACTCCCGTGCTGAGGTCTGGGAAGATGGTAATGGACAGCGCTACGTCGGTGGTGACAATGTTACCATCGTTGCTGTGCCTGGTGTGCTGCGGTACTTGGATGTCGAGTTGGCGGCTATGGGTATTAAGATGAAGTTCTTGGTGGATAACTGATATATCAGTCTCTGACTGGGGATCTCAAAAATTGTTTCTTGTTTCAATGTCATAGGTGGCGTATACCTGGTTTAATGATTATACTCATCTGCTTCTTGTCTTATTTTATTTTGCAAATATTCTTTTGTGTACGAACAGCATTCATTTCCTAACAGAATCATAAGTGTTAATAGAAAACGATCTTCGTATATTGGCTACTTGCAGCTATAATCTTCTCTACTAAGGCGTTCAACAATCTCAGGATCCAGTTATAACAAGATGAGATATTCATTTCACTAATAACGGCCATACTACATGTCAAACTTGCTATACTTCCAATACTTCCTCCACATATTATACTTCAGATATTAACCTCAAACCGAGCCTTTCTCTCCCTCGAGATCACTCTGCACCAAACCGGTCTTCGCAGCCGGGAACTCCCTTGTGCGCACCTTGTTCTCAAACAGAACATCCAACTCAGCATAAGAGCGGCCCTTGGGCTCAGGAAGTCTGAAGAACGACCATACAAGACAGAGAATGCACAGCCCACCCCAGAAGAAGCCAGACTTCCCCCTCCAATTCCACGCATCCACATTCAGCATGTAAGGAATAATAATACCAGTCACCAGATTGAGCACGTTATACAAATTCCTCGCCAGCACGACCGTCTTAGTGCGAAGTTTCGACGACGGCATCTCCGAAACCAGCGAGAAACACACCGGCCCGATAGTTGAATCATAGACGAACGTATACACAAGCAACATGGATCCTGTCGCCCACGAGAGCGATGTAGTCGCCGGCGCAATGGACATAAACCCAATAACAAACAGGATAACACCCAAGACCGCCAGACCACCCACATACAGTGTGCGACGACCAAAGTAGGTCATAAACAGCCACGAGCTAAACGTGCCAACAACGCCAATCGCATACTGCGCCAGCGACATCGTAAAGGACTGCGAGTCCGCCAGTCCAGCACGTTGATAGAAGACAGTCGAGTAGCCCATCAGACCGCTGCCACACAGACTCTGCACCGCCCAGACACAGCACGCGATCTCCGTGCGTCGCAGGTCTGTCCCCTTAAAGCAGTCCAAATACGAGGCGCCCGTCTCGGTCTGCTGCTCCATGGCATTCGTATACACAATCATGGAGACGGTTTCCTCGGCGCTGAAGTTCGGGTCTGCGCGCGTGAGCCGCTTCACAGCCTTGATAGCGTCTTCACGTCTATCCTTCCGCACAAGCCACCACGGACTCTCGGGCGCGAGGTACACTCCAATAAAGATCGGTACCGGCCACACCCACTGGATGGCGAAGGGGATGCGGTACCCCCACTGGTCGGTGCGTCCGAGTAGGCCCTTCAGCACGCCTGAGGCGATGAGCTGTCCGAATACCCAGCACAGATTGACGTAGGTGGTTAGGTAAGCGCGCAATGCGACTGGGCATACCTCTGAAGCGTATGTGACGGTGAGTGTCTGGTAGACGCCGAGGGGGATGCCCATGAGAAACTCGCCGGCGACGAGGGTCTGGACGTTTGGTGCGAAGAAGAGGATGAAGACGAAGCCGACTGTGCTGGCGAGACAGGCCATTAGGGTTTTGCGGTAGCCGTAGCGCTCGGAGACAATTCCGTTGACGAAGAGACCGAGGATCTGGCCGACGCTCATTGCGTTGGTTAGGCCTGCTTGCCATGAGGCGGCGAGGCCGTATTTGCCGTCCGACAGGATTTCGCCGTATTTCATGTTGAAGGATGGGAAGGCGAAGAATGAGCCGATTAATACTACATCGTAGCCTTCCATGATGATGGCGCAGGAGAGGAGGAGAGACCAGGCTACGGCTTTGGGGTAGAGTCGTAGCGCTTCCATGGCGGTCATGTTGTGTTCTTTTTCGATAGCGGCGTGGGCTTCGGTGGTGGTTTGGAGGTCTGTGTAGCCCGGCAGGTCATGGCCTGCTGGCTCAATTGAGTCGGCATGTTTCTCGACATGGTCGATGGCTTGCTTTTCAGAAGCCATTGCTGGGATGGGGGTGCCAATGGAGGCTCTGAGTATGATTCCAGGTTGTTACTCAGTGTGAATAGGACGGGATAGAAGAGAAGTATTTCATGCGGGCGTCGTCGGACATTTATATACAAAACTGTGCTGAAGGGCGTCGATGGTAGTCCATAACGAGCGAGGACGAGACCGGGGTTCCATTGGCCCACTTGTCCGTCGAGTATAATCCTTGCTTAATTCTTGTCAGAAGCGAGCGGAGTGGCGTAGAGAAACTTTCCCCAGTTTATCTGCACGGGGTATGCTTGGGTTAGCCCACTATCCCCGGATTTTCCTGGGAGAGTCGTGATTGGCCTAAGGTCGGGCCGGGCAGGGATGAAGAGACATCTAGTGCTCTGCATTTTCTCCGCATGTGCTTTTTCTCGTCCAGCCGTGTTTCGTGTGCCTCGTATTGGCCATCTTAGGGTTGTGGATTCTCCCGATCCAGTTAGAAGAAGCCGGGGGACATCGTTGGCTGATTGGCCTGATGTCGGCCCGACTTACCCCCTTTCCCCCCTCATTTCTGCTTGATGAACCAACGGATATCCGTTAGGCCCGGAAAGAGAGACGAATCGGCATAGACACTCTCGGCATTTCACATGGTCTGACGGTTGGACAGTTCGGTATGTTCTCCGGATCGTGGGATTAAGTGGGAATAAGTGGGAATGCCTATCATACTGAAACACCGCCAACCCTCGTCCAGCATTAGAAAACCCCGCAGGCAAATGAGTGGTACAAGATATTGCTGATAATGGCGGTCGGGCCGACATCGAGTCAATGAGAGCAATGGCCCTCCCTACATGATATCGGACGCGCTTGGACTCCATCATCGAGCTCTGGAGATGTACCTAGTGCATTGATTATCTAAAAACGAATGCAATAGGCATATATATATGGCCCTTTCGCTTTCTTCCCTATTTTGGACCATATTTTCTCTTCTATTTCCATTTATTGCATTGCAATCCCATACATTCACCATGTCTCCCGCTATAGTGAGCGAAAAGTGGTGGAAAAACTCCATCATCTACCAAATCTATCCCGCCAGCTTCAAAGATTCAAATGGCGATGGCATTGGCGACATCCCAGGGATTATCTCGTCTTTAGATTATATCACAAGCCTTGGCGTGGATGTGATCTGGCTGTGTCCCATGTACGACAGCCCGCAGATTGACATGGGCTACGATGTTGCCGACTACCAAAGCGTGTATGGCCCATACGGCACTGTCGAGGACATGGAGACCCTCATCGATGCATGCCACAAGCGTGGACTTCGAATTATCCTGGATCTGGTAGTGAATCACACCTCAGACCAGCACAAATGGTTCAAAGAATCTCGCTCTTCAAAGACAGACCCCAAGCGCGACTGGTACATCTGGAAGCCAGCGAAATACGACGCCAACGGGAATCGTCAGCCGCCAAATAACTGGCGCAGCATTTTCGGAGGCAGTGCGTGGGAGTGGGACGAGACAACACAGGAATATTATCTCCATCTGTTCTGTGTTGAACAGCCCGATGTCAATTGGGAGAATCCCGAGACTCGCCAGGCAGTCTACGAGGAGGCGATGGAATTCTGGCTGCAGAAGGGCGTCGATGGTTTCCGCGTCGATACTGTCAATATGTACAGCAAGCACCCCGAGTATCCCAATGCTCCAATCCTTGACCCAAAGTCCGACACACAACCTGCTTTCTCGTTGTTCTGCAACGGTCCTCGCATTCACGAGTACATGCGCGAGATGAACGATGTGCTTTCCAAATACGATGCAATGACCGTTGGCGAACTGCCAAACACACATACCGTTGAGGGTGTTCTGCGCTATGTCTCAGCAGCAGAGAAGCAGCTAAGCATGGTCTTTCAATTCGACCTCGTGGACCTCGGCCAGGGCAAAGACTATAAGTTCCTGACCACTTTGCGGGGCTGGAATCTACGAGAACTGAAAACTGCGGTGAAGAGCACACAAGATATTATCAAGGGTACAGATGCATGGACCACAGTGTTCATGGAAAACCACGACCAGGGCCGCTCTGTGAGTCGGTTCGGTTCTGACAAGACACCCGAGCTGAGGGTTCGGTCTGCAAAGATGCTTGCCATGATGCAAGGCACACTTTCCGGCACACAGTTTATTTACCAGGGCCAGGAGATTGGAATGGTGAATGCACCCCGGGAGTGGACGATTGACGAATACAAAGATATCGATAGCACCAACTACTATCGAATGACCAGCAAAGTGTCAGGCGACGATCAAGCCGCGCTGAACACGGCCATGGATTCTCTGCAGCATTTGGCGAGAGATCATTCCAGACTCCCCATGCAGTGGAGTGCTGAAGCCAATGCTGGCTTTTCACCGGCCTCATCGGCAAAGCCATGGATGCGCCCGAATGACAATTACCCCGAGATCAATGTGAAGCTCCAAGAGAAAGACTCATCTTCTGTTCTTTCCTTCTGGAAACAAATGAATCAGCTGCGCAAGGAGTATGCTGATCTCTTGGTCTTTGGAGAGTTTGAGATCATCGACGAGCCAAATCAGAGTGTCTTCACCTATACCAAGACAAATCACAACGAGACCATTTTGGTGGTTCTCAACTTCTCGGATACGACACAGAAATTTGAGAAACCAGATTCTGTGAAGAGCCAAGATTGGAAGTTGTTGGCTGGCAATGTAGATGGACACAAGGAGGACTTACAGGCGTTTGAGGGAAGAGTGTTTTTGGTTTAGGGCTGGGATATACTACTGGTTAGATAGCTCACACTCAAATTGGTTAAAGGACATCATTATAGCAGATTACAATCAAATATCCTTGAATGATTCGAGTCAGATCTTTATATCCAATTTCTTGTACTCCGTACGTAGATACCGTAATATATATCTTGGTCTAAAGCCACCACGCACCCCAGTTTCGCATCGGATCACCCCGGATTCACCCCAGGTTCTTTTAAGCTTTTAATTAATGCATATATGTACGAGTTAGGCCTACTAGGGTAAGTCTCACATGTTCTCATCCCAACATAGACCTCAGACATACGGAGAACAACCCGGTCGCGCTATGCTGAAAGAGTCTGGAGTGCCAAGACAAGCTCTTCAACGTCGAGCGCGGGGAAAAGAAGTACATGTTTTCAACTAAACATCAACCCCTGACACTGGAAACCCTGGAGATCAGAAGAAATGGCTGGTCCAACTTCCCAGTCGCGAGTCCCGAAAGCATGTGACCCATGTAATCGCCGCAAAGTTCGCTGCAACGGCCAGCAAAGATGTCAGCAATGCGAGCACCTGGATCTTCTGTGCACCTACACAGAGAACCGTTTATTGCGATCAAGAAAACATTCACTACGCCGAGGAGCTGTGATCTCAAAATACAAGAGCGCCAATACCAACACCAAAACCACCACCTTAACACCACTTCTCTCTCCACCAGCACCTACAGCCTCGCTTCAACTACCAACCTCGTACTTTGAAAGTCTACTCCCAGCCTACATGTCCTATGTATATCCCTTCAGTCCAATAATCACCGAGACAGAAGTGCGCACATCAATCACAAAAATGAACACAGAAAGAGAGCACGCAGCCTTCGTCTACGCCTTCACCGCAGTAACCCTGGACCTAACCCGGTCTTCTCAATTCACCACCAAATCCAGCCCCCAACCAGCCTCAACACAAATAACCGATCTAATGCGCCAGTCCGTGGAAACCCAACAACCACTAGTAATAGGCTTCCGCCCCTCAATCCTACGCGCTACAACAAGCATCTTCATCCAGATGTGCGCCATGAGCCTAGGCCACTACGACCTAGGCTTCTTCCACCTCCGCGAAGCAATCAGCATGATTCAGATGCTTCGTATCAGTGACAAAACCGTCAACGCAAGCCTCAGCACGGCCGAACGAGCCCGCCGCCAACGACTGTACTGGCAATGTTTCATCCACGAGCGATTCATGTCGATCGTGAATTTCTCCCCGGTGACGCTGCCCCCGCACACGCAGTACCCAGAAGAAGATACCTTCGTAGGCGCGGACATCCAGCAGGGCTGGACGCAGGTGATCAAGACGTTCTGCATGCTGGATGCATCATTTATCAGTTTGTGGATTGGGGACCGTACGCAGGTGACAGCGTCGTGGGTTGAGCGGAAATACCGCGAGCTGGACGATGCGTTGTGGGAGGTTGAGGTTTCTGCGCTGTCGGAGCTGCAGCAGGCGGATTTGGTTATTACGCGGCAGTGGATGCGGACGTTGTTGTGGCAGATGGCGATGTCGAATTGCTTGCTTAGTTCGCATGCGTCGTGTCCGTCATTGGAGCTGGAGATGCCGTTGAGGTTGTCGAGTCAGCTCAGGCAGTTTTTGACGAAGATCTCGCAGAATACGATTCGCGTGCATGGATCGTCGATGATTAGCAAGTTGTTGGAGATTGTTAATACGATTGCTGATGTGGTGATTCATGTGCCGCAGGCGACGAGGGAGGAGACGACGAGTCGTATTGATGATATTGTTTTTATGCAGGGGGTTGTGCTTTCTTTTCATAATCTGCAGGTTATGCCGAAGGATATTCTGTTGGATAAATTTCGATTGATTAGGGGAAGGTTTCCGCATATTGAGGTGGCTATGCAATTGGCTGTTTAGCTGGAGATCAGAGATATTCTGTGAAGGGGCCAGGAGAAAGACAGAGCAACTACTAATGGGAGATGGAGGATGTGTTTAACAGATTGCGTTCCAACTGAACAGCAGCATATAAGACATACATATGAGCGGCAAAAGCTCCCAGAGCCACACGCCACGCTCGGGCGCCTCCATTGGGAGGTTCCCGAGGGCCCTGGCGCTTTTCTTCGTCGCTAGACATACTCAAAGACTCAAATATAGTAAACTGTCATGGAAGTTGTCTCGAGATACTGGCGGTATAAGAATACAAGCTCGTCGGAGATAACAGATCAAAGTCCGGGCGGACCTGATGTGCCATGGCTTAGGGCTTTCATTCCCCACTGAACAAAGAAACATATGCAGATCGCCTTTAATCAAATTATAGAGTATTCTGCATTCAGAAGAGTGATGTCTGTTAGTGGCCGCGTTACTCGATTCAGCAAATCAGAGCAGCGTAAAAGCAAACATCCATGGTCATATTCATGTAAATATAACTAGATCATGTCATTTACTAGGATCAGTTCATAATTCAGTGCCTATGATTCATAGTTCGTATCAAAGATTTATGAGTAACTCCTTTTTCGAGTTGCTGTGCTGTGCTGTGTGTAAGTGTTGGAGGCTCTTGTCTCGGTATGCTATTGCTATCTAGATATGAGTAATGCTGTAGTTGCAGTTATTGGACCTCTATAGGTGTCTAGCTGCTTGGCTACAGAATAAGCAGCCTTGGCTTTTCAATAAGGCTACTCCTAATACTACGAGTACTATATATGTCAGACTAATACCCGTGCTGCACAGCTGAGCACACCTGTCCCAGCTAAGTAGATCAGCTACAGGTACTCTGCTGTAGCTATCAGGGCTACGCATCCTGGGTTGAGTACAGAGTACGATACGTAGTTCAATAGGCAACTGCATGTCCAGAATATTCACAAGAAGCCGAGACTCGGCTCTTCATCGTTCGTGAACGACAGCTAGAACAAGAAAAAAGTACATAGTGCTTGGGTCATGGGTTAGGATGCTAACCCCCGTAACGGGCTCATGTATCCCTGCCCAGGTCCACTCCACTGCAGTGCAGGTCGGAGTCTCTGAGCCTTAAATCCGGATCAAGCCGATACTCAATCCTCGAACCAACACAATAAGCATTTTCACGTTCTTGGGTGGGAGTTTTTTTCTACAATGATACGGTTGTTAATATGGTCGCTTCCGGTTTCAGCACGCTTGCTCCCACCCTGATCTAGTCGGTAAGCAACCCCCTGGGCCAACTAAACAAGGGGACAAAGTCGAATAACCCAGCCTTCTCTGACATAGCTACAAATCTGGCGAAGGGTGACGCATTCCTTGTTACAATCCCTGTCCTGTTACATTCTAACGCAATCCATCCTGCAACATATAATCGGCTCTACGGATATCGGTTACTCTCTCTACAATGCACAAAGCCAAGGTACTTTCGAGTCGGTCGAGGGGGGAAGCTTTCTTTTGGTTATCGAACTAAGGAGGAGCGTGTCACCAGGTCGAACGGCCGGGATATCGGTGTTTAGAACGAGTAGACTATGTAGATATAAGCACTCTCCGAGACTAATACATCGTGTCGCTCGAGAACGTACCCACCTAAGTCCGGCTATACTCCCTAGGAGCGCTCTATACGTGGAGGCTAGATTATCCAGGTTATAAGCTACTATGATAGAGGTAAACCGGACTTAGCCGTAAGTAACGACAAGGAAAGAAAAGAGGGGCCGGAGGGGTTCCGGTTGGGCGACCAAAATCATAGGGCTACAGCGGTAGGTGTAAGACAGAGGGGATAGAGGCAGAAGTGAAAGAGAAAGGGAGAAATCAAAGGCCGAGGTCGGGTCTACCTATATATCAAGGCAGTAGAGGGAGATATTATTACGTGACGGTGTATTAGGGCGCTCAACCTAAAAAGGCAAAGCTAACCGGAAAAGGCAATTCACAGGTCCTCGGTTTACATACACAAATTCATTCCTCTAGCCCGTTTACAACGCAGATGTCACGTTGGAGAACTCGCCCTTCTGGAGCTTCGTGTCCCAGAAGATAGGGTTCATGTCATCGAATCCGTGGTGCACCCATCCCTCTTCCTTGACGTGGTACAGGTTAATGAAACCACCGGAGTAGGCATCACGGTGCATGGCAGCCAGAATGGCTCGGCGGCCGAGGTTCAATGCCTCCTCCTCAGTCAGCTCGTATTTGTACTCGGCGTCCAGCACACCATAAGCGAAAGTCTGACCGGATCCAACACAGAACAGGTTACCGGGGAGGCGGGTGCCGTCGGAGTCGATGTAGTACAGGGCGGGTCCTTCTTGGGGCGTCATCTAGAGATCATTGTCAGTTTCTGAATCTCATGGCTATGAATGATGTATGGGACGTACTCCTGCTAACATAGTTCCCATGCTAAGTCCGTATCCCTTGTAGGCGTAAGTGAGGTTGGCAAGAATCTTAGACGCGGCCGCAACAGTGATACGGCGCTTGTGTCGGATTTCTAGATATGAATTCATCAGCAATGTCCTTTCACTCCCTGCAAATATCAAGAATCGAGCTGAACTTACCATGCAGAGTGCACTGCTGACTCAAATACCGCAACCAATATTGGCAATCCTAGCAATTCGCAACAACCATCAGCAATCAATATCCATCGCACCATCACTCGTCATCATCACTTGCGGTCCAAACTTACAGCTGCACCACCGGCCATGGTTCCCAGAAGACCTGGCGTCGGCTCGTTCGATTTCTTGTCCTCGCCCCGACTCAACCGCGATACAGGAATGACCTTCTTGACTGTCTGACTGGCAATCCAGTTACCGGCTGTTGCTCGCGAATCGGTACACACGATCTAACCCAATATATCAATCAGCATAACATGCTCCAAAATCAAGATACCCATGGTATAGCCGAAATATAGGAAAACGTACGATACCGCCCTGGAACCGGAAGGCCAGGGTTGTTGTGCCGTGAGCGAGCTTGATAGGACAGCTGGGATTGGAGTGGTCATCGGTCATGGCACGCAGGAAAGCAGAGTGCTAGGTAAAAGAAATCAGTGTCAGTCCATTATTTCGCTTGGTTCAATCGTAGATAGGTTCTGGCTAGCGATTCTCTTAGGCATAGCTGTGATGACGGCGTAGCTAGGTTGACGTCAGGATAGACGTACATCCCCCGATCAAACCGCCATCGAAATCAAAGAGAACCTGCCACAGTATTCATCAGGAACTCACGTTGTCGACAGGAGGAAGGCTGAACTTCAGCGAGAGTGGAGGGACGCTGGCAGTGAGGTCCTGCTGCTCTTGCTCTGAGTACATCTCATTCTGATGGGGAGGGCGCGAGTATTGGGCAACAAGTTTATCCATTGTGTGCTGATGTAAGAGGAAATAAGGAGAAAATTAGAAAAAAGATGCTGGAAAGACGTGAAAGGGATTCTGGTGAGACAGTCGAGTGATGGGTGAAGCTCCGCTAGAGCTCGGGGTTTCCGCGTCACTCTGGCGCCTGCGGTCACGTGAACTTTCTACTCCGTACTACAAATCGCGATATTCATTTGATATCATTTTTAGAAAAAATTGGAAGAAAAAATAAATAAAACAAACGACGAATTAATGAACTAATGAATTAACGAATTAAAACTTTACAATAAACAATTTGCATATTTCCTGAGTATAGACCCCCATGTCCAGCGCCAGCCAACGCCTTGTCCGAAACCACCAGCAACATTTGGTGCCCAATCTGAGGCGAACAACCGAATTTACACATTACAGCTGAAGTATGTCCGTATCGAACTAAAAAAGAGACCACTGAACCCCCGAGAAAGACTGAAACGATCACGCAGGCGAAGGCTCAGGCTCAACCACCATCTTCGCGGGCAGCGCACCGCTTCCCACTGGTTGGGTGAAACCCTCAGTCACAGAAACATTCTCGAGAACATCCGACTGGTGCTCCGATACTACTTCATCATGTCCATTGACACCGCTAACACCGTTGGCATGAGTCGGAGACTCTCGGCCCATGGCATTGGTGATAGGCTCAACGCTGGGTTCCCATCCACGGAGATCATTCTCGGCATCCTCGAGAATCTGGCGTGCCAAGGGCTCATGCTCATACGCCTGGCGTGCATCACCAGGAACAACAGGACTGTCATCAATGTAGTTGAGCAGGCGACGAGCGTGGCGAGCCAGAATGGTCTGCTTCTCGGCGCGCTCAATAACAGCCGCCAGATGAATATCATAGGCCTCCTTGAGCTTTTGGCGTGTCTGCAGACGAGATGAACGTTAGCCAGCCCAAACTAACCCGACACACCAAACAAAAACAGAACGAAGTCAGAATTAAACGTACGATATTAGACAGCTGTGCCTCAGCAACCAGGTTCTGAGCCTCAGCCCGGACAAGCTCATGTTCCAGCGTGACCAGACGCGGGCTCGAAGGATCCTTGTACTTGAGCTTGGCAATTTCGTCGGTGACTTTCTGGCGCTGCTCGCGCGACGGCTGCACCGAGGCCTCCATGTTGCGAATCTGCTTCAGGATACTACGGTAGTCCTCGAGGTTCTGCGCGAAGTTGTCTTCCTGCTCGCCAATCTCAGCAAGCATGACGCCGAGCTTGTCGGAGATGTCGGAGACATTGTCGTCTTCAGTAGACTCGCCCCATTCAGAGAGCTGGGCGGCGATCGAGGTGCGCTCACGGCCGGCAGCTTCGTGGGCGCCGATGGCGGCGTTCTCGCTTTTGATCAGCTTGGTCATCTTGCGGCTGAGCTCCGGCGCTTGCAACCCACGGAAGGTGGAGATGCGGAACCGCTGCCGGCTGGCATGGTGCTCTTTTCGCGAGCGGAATGAGAGGTTGCGGTTCCTAGACTTTGGTTTAGTCAAAGTAAGGGTTGGGAATATAGGATACATACATATTGTTTGCTTGTATGAGATATAGTCAATCAATACAAGTTAGGGTTACGGGAGGTGGGATATGTTAAGATGAGAAACCGAGAAAACTGAATCTGGGCGAGGCCAAATGATAAGTCAGTCGCGCCTTCCTATAGATGACGATGGTGACGAACCCTATTCTCTCCAGGGCTTCTCTTTTCTTTGCCAGAGGAAGTGCAGTCCCGGTGGCTGACGTCATGAACGGGGAGGGGCGGAAGTCGAGTTGAGCAGTTCATGCACGCCATCACAATTCCGATTGCAGACATTTCAAGCTTAACGTTGTAGAATAATAGTTAGTGGTGATGGCCTTTAGATTTTGAGTTATTTATCATGAAAGACTAGTATTATCTAGGGCTGATCGTCAGTCTCCACCTTGGCTTCGGCTTCCCGATATCAGAGTACTAGCAGTACCACCTGAATAGCCCTGGAGACTATTAGTTAATTATATTATATTCCATGCACTTCATAGGTACATAGGTATATAATTATAGAAAAGGGATTTGTGTTTCCCTTTATTTTCAGTTTCTGAATATGCGTGGACCCAACAGCTACCTTCCTAATTGGGAAATATCTCATTCGATCAAACCTACAGTGGAAGATAACTTGAAAAAATAGGGATTAAATTCATAAGAGATCCCACCCTCTATCCTCTCAATTCGAGGCAACAAAAAAAGAAATTCGCAGGGCCAGAGGAAGCAGAGAATTTCCCCTGGCCAATCTTATGGTACAAAACCAGCTAAAGCATCCGCATAAATCCAGACACCCGAATAGCAAGCCCCGCAACGCCTGAAATAGACCGGAATGACTGATCCGCAGAATCATTCGTTAAAAAAAAACTTTCACATGAAAAGATCTCAGGGCAGACTAGGAAATGTCGTCCGCATCGGGATTGTGTGAGTGTTCGTTGTCAGATGCATGGAATGCGTCGCCGAATGCCGAGTTCTCCAGGTCTGGCAAGTCAAGCCCATCGTTCTGCTCGCTATAAGCCGCCAGGGCATCACCGGCACTGTCGATGTTGGTAAAGTCGAAGTCTCCACCGACCGGGCCATGGTCTTTGCTCTCATTGTTCACCATTACCCAGTCGTTGGCCTGGACATTAGTACCAGCGTGAAGCTGGTCGCCCAAATCCATGTCAACATCACCGGACATATCAGCGCCGTGGATGGGTTGTCCATTGACAGAAACACTTGAGATTGCGCCTACACCAACGCCCGGGCTGCCAAATTGGTTGAGTAGGTGGGAATCGTCGTCCATGACCATATCATTGGTGAATGAGTCAGGCTCGTCTTTGTGTTCGGGTTCAATCTTCTCCAATAAACCACCCTTCTCGACACAGGATACCTTGGGCTCGGCAACGATTTGTTTATTCCAGGCAGTCTCAACTTCCCGGACTACCTCGTCAACCCTGTATTTGGCCTTATCTTCAATGTAATCCAATTGCGGGGTTTCATCCTCTGTTGGGATGACAACTCTGCCCTCCAGTCGCCAAATCTCAGGGCCCTTTTCGGTCGGGTCAGCAGCAGACTCTCGAAGGCGCAACTCGGCATCCTTGAGCAACGAGGTTCGGTTGAAACGTTGCATCCGGCGAGCATGCTGTTTCTTCAAGTTTTCAATCTCGGCGGTCATGTCCGCCACCTTTTTAGAAACCCGCTCGGCAAACTCCTCTGCCTTAGCCGGCTCCATCTTGTTGGCCTGTGGGGCGTCGCCCGCCTCCTGGCCTTCTCCGCCAGAGGTTCCAACAGGAGCATCAAAGAAGCCTGCAGTTAGGGACTCAAGCTCTCCCTTCCGGCCCAGACCCAAAGAGACTGGTGTGATTTGTGAGATAGTGTATGGCGACGCGAAGATTTCCTCCATCCACTCGTGATGCTGCTGGTATCGCATCTTGCTGACATCGCGGGGCGTCAAAAGATCCATCGCATCACCACTGGAGACGTCCTCATCTTCAATAGCAAAATCTGCTGTTGCAGAAGCGAGGGCAGCCGACGGCGCACGGTGTCCGCGTGGCCCTTTGGCTACGGGTGCATTAGGCGCAGCTGCACCTGGATGACCTGGGGGTGCATAGAAACCAGGCCCACGAGGCGCAGCAGCCGGGTAAGTACCAGGTTGCCCAAAGTTCTGTGGAGTCATTTGGGGGAAATTGATAACTGGCCAGCTGTTGCGATCATGAAGCAAAAAGTCCTTGCGGGCCAATTGTCCTTGGCTCTGAAGGAAGCGGCGCTGGCCCATCATGCCTTGGACTTGGGGTGTAACTTGAATTCGGTTTGCAGGGGCATGGTCTTGAGGCGCCGCACGGGTGTAGTGCACAATCCACAGTGATGGGTCGGGTTGGGGCACATTCGGTACTTTGGACGAGGTGATGCGGTAGCGCTTGCGGCAGTGTGTTGCCACGGGCTCATTGGGAGGGTGGAAACCGCTTCGGTGAAGATACATCTCGACAGTCTGTATCCTCAAATATTAGAATTGAATCCACATGGGGCAAGGGAAGCTTCATTGCAGGAGGAGGCATACGTAGCCGCGAGATTCAAAGGTAAAGGCCTGTTCCTGATCGGCCCAGATATAGCCATCACTAGCAAAGTTATTGCCTAGGTGGTTTTGTGGCTGCCATGTAAGCATAACAGTTCCATCCGGGGGACCATCGAGGAATGTCCAATGCATGGGCTGGGATTGACAGATCCGGGGTGCGCTCGTCAAATACTCGACGGCGGTCTCAGAGGGCATCATGTGCATGCTGGGGTATCGGTTGCGCGAAACCAGGTGCATGTGGGGGAGCTATCATATTTGCGACAAGATTAGTGGGGGGGTCACAGATCATGAAGCAATCAATATAGGAAGTTGTTGGGGTCTTACCAGCTGCCCCGGGATGCGTGTGGCCGGGTCATCCATATTGGGCGCTTGATTGCCAAGTGCAATCAACTTTGGGAAGATGTGAGTAAATTAGGTTCAAATCAAGTGAGGCAATCGGGATGCGATGGAGGTAGACAGGGCAAGAGCAATGAAGGACGGAGGTGTTCAATGAACGCGACACTACGCGGGAGATTTTTGATACGGTTTCCGATACGGACCTGATATGCAGAACACCTGAATTTACAGGCACCAGCTTTTCATGGGCTTTCCCAATTTGGAAGGTTCATCCAGTCATCCAAGGATTATTTATGTGATTTGGTACAAAGAGACAATAGACCATAAATGAATGACTCAAATCTGTTTATATAACAAATTTAAAAAGATATGCGAAGGTGGCAGATGGGAAAAGGTGTGGTCTACGCACTTAGACAAACTAGTTAACTAGTTAGCATTTTTCTGCATCATAAAATTTTCTTACTATTAAATCGGCAAATAGGTACCCAGTCAAGATTCAAGATCAACAAAAAGTATCACTCTACCCTTGAAAGAAATACATAAAGTAGTCCAACCCCCAACCTCGGCCTTTTACACAAAAGCGGCAGCTCTCCACCTAAGCTTTTGCCAATTCCTCCGCATTCTGTTCTCCAATTTCTCCACTCAAAATCTCCTTCATCCCAGTGACCAATAAATATCAATAGTTTCTGTAGTCCCACCAATCTGAGCTGAGCTGGTCATTAATTCCTGTACTATGTAGTACGCCTCTGCCGATCCTGGCTTTTTTCCCTTTACACCCCGCGAATAAGTATACCTCCGACCCCGGAGATCTGTCCGATCTTTTCTCTCTTCTCTCCCGTTTTCACCTTCAGACCAGTATCCCATTGTTCATTGTGACGTCTTCGATTCACTATGGGCTTTTTGAGGCAGGAGCAGCCGGAGGATGTAATCCAAACAGCCCCTGATGAAGATATTGAGAAAATCACCGTGCCCGCTCACCAGGAGAAACCGCCCAGTGCAATCTTACCGGCTATTGATCCCGAGTTAGAGCGTCGAGTGGTTAGAAAATTGGACTGGCGTGTTCCGACGTTATTGGGATTTTTCTGTATGCTTTGAACTCGAGACGTTAAACGAACTTATATTCTAACTACGTGTTTCTGTGGTATCTAGATCTCCTCGCTTTCCTCGACCGAAGTAACATTGGGTTCGTCCGCAACAGCATCTTTGGACCTGCACGCAAAATAGCACAACCGCTGACAGTGTAAACCATAGAAATGCCAAAATCGCCGGCATGAAAGAGGACCTCGGCCTCGATGGAAAAAGCTACGCCTGGCTCTTGACAATCTTCTATATTTCATATACATTGTTTGAATTCCAAGCACTGATGTGGAAGATTGTCAAACCGCACCAATGGGCTACCTTCGTGGTATTCTCCTGGTATGAATCCCATGTGCCATGCTGTCAACCAGCCGGAATTGCAAATGTATATGAATGTATGAATTATAAACTGACGGATGATGGAAAGGGGTTTGATGGCAACGTGCCAAGCAGCGGTCAGTAATTGGCAAGGCATGATGGCGCTCCGGTTCCTGATGGGCGCCTTCGAGGCTGGCTTCGGTCCCGGTGTGCCCTATCTGCTGTCATTCTTCTACCGCCGCCACGAGCTGGGTCTCCGATGCGGTCTGTTTCTGTCTGCCGCGCCGCTGGCAAATACATTCGCCGGTGCCTTGGCATATGGTATTACTTCGGGACATGCTTCGTTGGCAAATTGGCGATTGCTGTTCCTGGTTGAGGGTGTTCCGGTCTGCGCGGCCGCCGTGCTGGCTTGGTTCTATTTGCCAGATAGCCCGCTGGACGCTAAGTTCCTGACTGAGGAAGAGAAGGATGTTGCGCGTGCCCGTGCACTGCAACAATCCGGTGAACCGGATCGCACGGGCAAGATCCAATGGAAGGAATTAGCCATGACGCTTCTCGACGTGAAAGCGTGGCTTACAGCTGTAAGTCGACCATCAGTATCATCGTGTGTATCGGAGGAATTGCTAATGTTAAACCGTGTACCTAGTTGATGTACTTCAGCTGTAACGTCAGTTTCTCTTCTCTCCCCGTGTTCCTACCCACCATTCTCAAGGAGATGGGCTTCACGGCCATCAACGCCCAGGGGCTCACTGCACCTCCATTCTTTGCCTCATTTCTGGCGACGATCGCGACCACCTGGGTGGCGGATCGTATTCAGCAACGCGGATTGACGATCGCAGCTTTATCACTGGTTGGTGGCGTGGGGTATATCCTTTGCGCGACTTGCACATCAGTGGGTGTTCGATACTTTGGTGTGTTCTTGGCGGCCTGTGGAGTCTTCCCCTCGATCGCCAATATTCTGCCGTGGGTTCTGAGTGAGTCATTTCCCTTCTGATCATTAGAGTTTGCTTCTATTTAAATGTCTTTTACTGACTGGACGTGTTACGTTGTACGTTGTGCAGACAACCAGGGCTCCGATACTCGCCGTGGTGGAGGTATTATTCTGTTGAACCTGATCGGCCAGTGTGGGCCTTTCCTGGGCACCAACATCTTCCCAGATGAACAAGCCCCAAGGTATGTAAAGGGTATGGCAATATGTGCTGCTTTTATGTTCTTCACTACACTCCTCGCTTTGTGTCTGCGTGTGCTCCTGGTATGGGAGAACCGGCGCCTTGACAAGAAGTATGGGCCTCGAATTGAAGAGGACCCGACAAAATCTGTGGATGGCCCGGTAGCGGAGGATAATTACGGTGCCAATTACCGTTTTGTGCTGTGATTTTTGGATTCTCTAGCGGAGATCACTGTATATTCTCATGCGTCTGCTTGCGTTCTCATATATATGCCCCAGCTGAAAGCTGTGATGACTATGATGTCAGAAAGCCCACACAGGATTTTCGAAGAGAAAATGAAATATGAATATTTTGTTTGGCCTTTCAGAACCAAACGACTTCAGGTGGATCTCATTCACGATAATAATTGCTCCCATTCCGCGACCTAGTACTTTGGCCCCATCGTAGTCACCCGTCAGTACAACGTACATCGATGCACTAAGTGCCACGAAAACACCCAATCTATACATCCAGACAAGCTTGATAGCAGTGATATCATCAGAGTTGTTGATTAATTTAGTATGTTCCCACCTGATAGTCAAGAATCTACTAGTTTGTGGTTAGTACCGGATAATGCCTGGCACTCGAAACCTTTTCCCCTTTTAGTGCTCTCATATCTTGCCGCTTTTTGATCCCTGAGTAAAATTGAGCACGTCCCTAAGTACGTACCCTGACGTCCAATTTTGGAAGGTTCTAAGGTTGATCACTGATCCTTACATGATCAAAATGCTCTCCAAGGTTGCTCGAGGACGTGATAAACCACTTCTCTTGCCAATAAGCGCACAAGCCGAAGACTTTCCTACTTATAATGTCATATTTTTTTTCGCATCATTGCTAAGTACATAAGGTTGCAAACCAAAGAGACAATGGACTGAATGGATTACTACACAAGACTTTTTTCCTGATCCACTTTCTAGTTAATCCAGCTGTTAGCTAGGTACTCGCGTTGTCCAGAGCCAACCCCCAACATACATGTTGCAACCTGTTTCACAGAAACGAGCAGAAACTATTTACACTACCATTAGCACCGGCGGCAAAATAATTAGCAATGGTCTCTAATACATAGGATGCGAACTTGTATTAAAATGGCGTGACAACGCCGGAGAACGAGGAAGGATGGCCGGCAAGTGTTTTAGCTCGCACCTTCATCTATACAATTGGACATCCATGCCCTGCTTGCGTAACCCATATCAGATTCAAATTAATATAGCGACTGTCAGTCGTCTATCCCCGTAAGATTTTTTATCAAGCTATGAGCCTAGTCAAAAATCTAGCTAAATGGGGCCTGAAATAAGTCCATATAAAGGCTTCGCCTTAGCCTATTTTATCTGCTTGCTATTTCGTTGTTAATTCGTTTTCAAGTTTCTCGAGTCTCTATTACAATGAGTAGCGCGAATAAAAGACCAGATTTCCTCGTCATTGTTGCCGATGATCTCGGTTTCAGCGACATCTCCCCCTATGGAGGAGAGATTGAGACACCTGCGCTCGCGAAATTGGCCAAAGAGGAATCCGAATGACCAATTTCCAGACAGAATTTGCGTGCTCTCCCACTCGATCCATGCTGTTCTCTGGGACAGATAGCCACATTGCTGGACTTGGTATGGGCATCGAGGAATCGCCTTCTTTACCCCAAAAAAACTTACATCTTCTAGGACAAATGGCAGAGTTCATGCGATCATTTGGTGATGGTAATGGTTTTGAGGGAAAGCCTGGCTACGAGGGATATTTGAACTTGAGAGTAGCGGCTCTCTCGGAGATCTTGCAATATGGAGGATACCACACGCTCACGTCCGGAAAATGGTGAGTTCCTACATCTGAGTTCCAAATATTCTAAAGAATCATTACTGACCCCCGATAGGCATCTTGGAATGACAAAAGAGATTGCTCCTTGTCCCAGGGGCTTCGATAAGAACTTCTCTTTGCTACCAGGAGCTGGCAACCACTATAACTATGAGCCTCAGCTGGATGATATCGAAGTCCGTTTTATCCACACAACTGGGTTTTGGATGGAAGGAGACAAATTTTTCGACCGGACAACAGAAATCCCCGAAGACTTCTACGTAACTCCTACATTCACAGATAAGATGCTGGGATTCCTCGAGAACCGCACGGAAAAAGAATCACAGAAGCCCTTTTTTGTCTATCTACGATATACGGCTCCACGCTGGCCTCTACAAACGCCCCGGGAGATCATCGAGAAATACGGTTGGTCCTCCACATGTATTGACTGTTCAATTACTGACTGGGCTCAGCGGGAATGTACGACGATGGTCCCGATGCATTGACACAGAAGCGGCTTCAGCGTCTCGAGGAGCTAGGATTGGTGGAGGGGAATATACAACACGCATCTCCTGTAGGTGCCATTGGGAAGGATTGGAAAGAGCTGCACCCAGAAGAGAAGAAGGCTTCTTCACGGAAGATGGAAATCTTTGCTGCAATGGTTGATCAACTCGATGCCAATGTTGCCCGAGTTATTGAGTACCTTGAGTCTACACATCTACACATCTACACATGAGCTGGAGAGTACATTTGTCTTGTTCATGTCAGACAATGGAGCTGAAAATATGTAAATGGCTTACCTGGTGCCCTAGCATTTATTCGAGCTTCTTATGAAGATTGAAGCACGACACAGATAATAAAATCTTACATGTATTATGTTGCAATGTGGGCTTAGGGTCCTAGCCTGCACTTTTGACTGTAATACCATTAAACGAATTCACCCTATAGCCATGACGCATTTCTTAATGAGATAGATAGAGTGCTCCAACCTGGAAAAGAATGAGGGCAGGAGCAATACTATCAACGAACTAACCATGTCATGGCGCACGTGACTAACTCAAGCCATCCATGGATCCATGGACGATCACTAACCTTAATCTAAGCCCGTGCTGAGATCTGCTCAGTGAGCCTGGGCCTCTTAAAAGCGGCAGCTCAAAGGGAAAATCGGGTATAGCTACATATGTATGCACGTAGTAACAGGAAACCTACTCCGTGGGGCAAAGTATGAGGTCCGGGGCGGAACACTCCGGGCCACTCATGAAGCCAAAGCTAGAAAAGCTAGAAACGTCACCTGAGAGCATTTGATTCGTGCAACGTAGCTCACCGGGAAGCTCACCGGAAAACCGGAGAGAGTCGGAGTATTATGACATCTCGATAGGTGGGATGGTGGGGTATGATTTGTTGGCCATATAAGGTTGAGCTGCCCGCAGTTCCTTTTTTCTCTTCTTCCTCTCTCCATCAATCCATTGACGAATTTACATTACAACAGTAACTATCTACTACCATGTATACTTGCATACCCTCAGGGCTGACTCTCGTTTAGATCCCAAACGGAAAAGTACATACTGCCCTTCCTTTGGGAGCCATGGATATTCTTTGGCTGGGCACATTATCCCTCAGGGATCAAGGTATATCAGGTAACCTCTGTGTATGAGCCGGTGTTCGTTCTTGCGTCGGTGGTGAATCCAATGTCTAGACATCAGATCCACCCTCGGCGTGGGTTCGTTCTGAGATTATACGGCCTTTAACTTGATCTGGATAATACCAGCGAAAGGATCATGCTCTCCCCCCTCCCTCTCCCCCAAACTAGAGTAGTCAAACTAACCAAGGCCCAAAGTCATATCCCCGACTTGATCTCTGAACCATTATGTCTCCTCCCGCTGCCATGTTTGAGTCTGCTACTGTTGCCCCTACCGGCATCAAGGGCAAGGTCATCGTCCCCGAGTCGGTGACCACCACCCTAACCGGCCAGGGCCAGTCAAACCTCCTTGAGCAGTTCGGCAACAAGTGGGATGAGTTCAAGTTCGCCCCCATCCGCGAGAGCCAAGTCTCGCGCGCCATGACCCGACGCTACTTCCAGGATCTGGACAACTACGCCGAGAGCGATGTTGTCATTGTCGGCGCCGGTTCCTGTGGTCTGAGCACTGCCTACGTGCTCGCCAAGGCCCGTCCAGACCTGAAGATCGCCATCGTGGAGGCCTCTGTGTCGCCCGGTTAGTCTTGTCCCATGCGAGCAGACTATCTCTCGTAGACCTCCACCCTAAACCAACAGAATATCACTAACAAACATACTATACAGGTGGTGGTGCCTGGCTAGGTGGACAGCTGTTCAGCGCCATGATCCTCCGACGCCCCGCAGACGCCTTCCTGACCGAGCTCGGCGTGCCCTTCGAAGAAGAGCCCAACAACCCTAACTTCGTGGTCGTGAAGCACGCCTCGTTGTTCACGTCGACGCTCCTGTCAAAGGTCCTCGCCTTCCCTAACGTCAAGCTCTTCAACGCTACCTGCGTCGAAGACCTGATCACCCGCCCAGACGGTAACGATATCCGCCTCGCCGGTGTCGTCGTCAACTGGACTCTCGTCACCCTCCACCACGACGACCACTCCTGCATGGACCCCAACACCATCAACGCCCCTGTTATCGTCAGCACTACTGGTCACGATGGACCATTCGGCGCTTTCTGCGCTAAGCGTCTCGTCTCCATGAACGCTATTGAGAAGCTGGGCGGCATGCGTGGCCTTGACATGAACGCGGCTGAGGACGCTATTGTTAAGAACACCCGTGAGGTCGCTAAGGGTCTTATCATTGGTGGTATGGAGCTTTCTGAGATCGATGGCTTCAACCGTATGGGCCCTACCTTCGGCGCTATGGTTATGAGTGGTGTCAAGGCCGCCGAGGAGACTCTGCGTGTCTTTGAGACCCGTAAGCGCGAGTGTGCTGAGTAAATTCGCACTCTTTTATGCTGGCTCGCTTTGTCGTTTCTGCTTGCTTCTAAATTGATGCTGGTCGACTCGGTGGAGGTTTATGTAGCTTTGATGATGACGATTTCTTAACAAATGCAATTCACACTCGTTTCGTGAAAACTCTATTCCGTTTGAATCTGTAGACAAGTATTTTATCTCGAGAAGCTGATCTTGCTTTCGAATTATGAATTAGTTTTGCCAGTCGAGGATAAGACTAGCTGGGCACATAATATACTACACTTTTGTAACCGAATATAAGCAGACAGATAAGCCACGCAATCGAGCCACACCCCTTCATGTATGATCTAATCCCTTTTCCACAAACCAGCTTGTGATAAAAGCAATCAATCGTCCTTCTGATCTCTCTCTGTTTCTTCTGAAGCAGCACCTACACCACTGTCGGCGGCAACCACCAAGCACCTCGCATTTCTCACCTCCCACTCAAACTCCTTCAAGGCACGCAATTCACCTGACATGAATAGTCCACCAATCAAACCATCCAAAATCCCAGCACCGAAGTTGAGCGTGCTAACCAGGACGAGGATGAATCCGATGTACGTGCGGCTGCCAACCCACCACACGCCGACCATGCAACCAATGGAAACCACAATAGACACCAGGAAATGCGCCAGACGCCAACGGCGCTGAGAGCGTTCACGGGCCACGTATTTGTGGATCATGTCAATGATATGATCGTATGTGTCTGGGGAAAGGGAGGCGTTGGGGGAGACGGGCTTTGAAGTTGTTATATGTAGGGTGGGAGAATTGGGAGAGGTTGGGGCAGAGTCTGTAGAGTGGGAATGAGGGTATGTCGGTGCCGAAGAACGGGTGATGACAGCCTCAACGGCGAAGTGGTCGCTCAGCGAGCAGAGGAGAGTGGGATGGCGCTGTGTCATGGATACTTGAACTGACTCTACTGACCAGGTAGACGGCGGGAATGCTGGCGGGTAGCCACCGTCGCCGATGAAGATATAATCCAGACGTTTGCCGCGCGGGTCTGGGGTGTCCTTGTCAATGACAATGTCCTCACCTTGGACTAAGCGCTTGCGCATGGCCTCAGTCCAGCGCCAGGTATTAAAGGACCCGTCGCATGTAGCTCCATTCTCCGCAAGATTGAACTCGGCCGTTGGAATAGGCCGATTCCGTGCTTTTTCAACAGGATCAATTGCTGCCGCGAGGGACGAGTCCGGGTGCAGCTCGCGCCAGGCGTCTCGGACAGGGCTCTGCGCGGTGATGAGACGGTGCGCGAAAGAGGAAGGCAGCATGTTGAAGTCGCCCAGGCCGATGACTAGGTGACCACGTTCCGCGGCGCCGCTCATGAGCTTGGAGATCTCCCATGCCTGCGCGGTCCGGTGGCAGAGGTAGGAGTCGTGCGGTTCGCGCTCATATGGCGCATGTAGGTGAGTGCAGAACACCTCGGCGACGTCAGCGGTATCAGGGCCGAACCTAACGCGTGCGCTCGCCACACCTTTCCCCACGAACCAATCTCCTCGGAAGAAAGCCGTTGGTCGGCCATTCAACGGGTAGCCGAACATGCTGCTTTCCTCGATCGGCCATTTTGACAGAATCGCCAATCCCGCGCCAAATATGCCCCCGTAATAAAATTTCCCATACGGCAGGATGTGTCGAGTCTGATCGCGAATGCTTTCATAATCCTTTTGGGTCCAACACTCTTGCAGTCCGACTATCTCCGGCGGCGGGTTGGCTACAGCCAACTGCCGCCCGATCTCCGACATGCGTTCATGGCGGTACTTGGCGATGTATTTGAGACCCCAGCAGTTGAAAGTGAGAATGCGGATGTCACTTGGAGCTTTGGAGGGTATAGAGTAGGCCATTGGGCCAGATATTGACCAGAATGAGCGTTGACGGCGATATTTAGGGTTACTAGCGAACAGGAAGTGGTCAATTAAGGTGACCTGAACGTCCACGAGTCCACGTGGTTTAATATGACGCAGCCAACAAAAGCTGCCCCCAGTCTCACCGCTTGCAAAATACCACACCGCCTTTATATTATGCTTCGCGACGCGTCCGATTGATTTTCATTTCGGCGCTCGAAATTGGCTATTGTCAACCTCATTTCGGCGCATTTGCATCTGCTTGTTTGGATGCTCTTGCGCATCCCTATTTTACAATGGATCATGCAAACCCCCAGCCTCGCCGCCGGGACCCTCGCGCCCAATCGCCCGTCGAGTCTTCCTCCGACGAACTAGCCGCCGGCTCCGACCATGACGAAGCCGAACGTCGCCGGGCCAGCTGGACCATGCAAAAGGGCTTCACCCCACAGCGCCCAAAGAAGACCGGCCGTCTCTACAGCGAATCCGAGAGCCCTGACGAGCTAGCTGTGGATGCCGACGAGTACTGGCGCTCCTCACGCATGCGCAACCGTCGCCGAAGCCCCTCTCCGATTGCCCGCCCTGGCATCCGTGACGACCATTCCCAGGGCGGTTCGGATGATCTTGCTGAAGATGACGTGACTGGCTCGGACGAGAACCAGGCTGGCGACGCCGACAACTGGTCCGATCGCTCTGCCACGCCTATTGCTACTCCGGTGCCTCCCAAGCCCGAGCATTTGAACTACAAGGAGAAGTTTGTGATGCGCGGCCACCTGCGCGGAGTGTCGGCTGTTCAATTCTCACCCGATTGCTCTATGATTGCTAGTGCGGGTATGTATTATGTTCATGGTCTAGCTACTACATGACTTGTTAACTGACTTAACTGACTTTTAAACAACAGGTGCCGACGCAGCTGTCAGGGTCTGGGACACTGCGAGTG